CTTTAGTGATATATATGTTGGAAGGCATCTTCTTCCAAAACAATCCCGTTTCGTCAACATTAAAGATTTGATGTGGACTGTAATTTCCATCATGGACAATAGCTTTTAGTGTTGCTATAAATTCACTAGCAGCGTTAGAGTCTGCACTCGCTGCTTCTCGTGTCAATCAACGTCAATCAAACCATCCCCAACTTGCATTAAACGTATCAGTTGAGTTCTCATCCATTTTTTTTTCTTAATTCTGAATAAATTTCCTTAGCTTTTTGTTGGATAGCAGAAAGACTTAAAGGAATATTTCTGTGTAATTGAGAGTCTAACCAAACTTTCAAAATCCCCTCCATTTCTTCCATCACATTAGAACGTATACGAGTATACCTGAAGTTTGTTGAAGATTTACCCCATCTTTAACATAACACTTCAAACATTCTTTTGATTTTACTATTGTGTTAACTGTTGATCTACTGTATCCTAAATGTCTTCCTATTTCCGCTAGTTTTTCACCCTTCTCTGCCATTTCAATAATTTTCAGTTTTTCAGCAAAAGTAATCGTTTTTCTTCTTTTCGAACCTTGTTCTATCTCGCGGCCACCTTTTCTTTTATTCATTTTCAACTTTTTATTTCTAAAATCCCGTTTGATCGAAATGTATTGATGCGGACGATGTCTGAAACGATCTAAAGCGAACTCAGGACGTGTATCGATTGAATTCACAAAGATATTTTTTCGTCCGGTCTCTTTCGGTAAATCCCCTATGCAAAATGTGGTAAAATAGAGTAGTGTAACGAGCAAAGTAGGAAAGTCCCCAGTCGGCCGTAAGTGTACGTTCGTACGAACAAGTTTGTACATTCGTGCGAACAAAGATCATCTTGGAACAAATTAAACAAATATACGTATTCTTATGGATATTTCGTGTTCGTTTAACGTACATTCGTTATACGTACGGTAACTCAGGAACGCATTGTGTACGTTAAGTGAGCGCTCACCCGCTCACTGTAATATGGCAAATGACGCTGTGGAAATCTTTCTTGGTATTCTCGTATTGATTGTCGAGCATTTCCATTGCAAAAACCATACAGGAAAATTATCAATCAGCATTCTCTTCAGTGCTATAAGCGTACATTTTGAGTTTCTTCTTGTATATAATAATTAAACCTTACAGCAAACGGACATATTACAATGACAACTTTGTTTTTGTTGAATGTTTGATTTTACTGACTATTAATAAATTCGCTGCAGAAAAATCATCATATATTTATATATCATATATTAAAGTTTGATGGTGAGCTAATAAATCACCCTGTATATTATAGAACATACGATCAGCTTTTCTTTGAAACTAATTCTGAGCAGGACAGATGTATACAATGTTTTCGTAAATTTCAAGTAGGCATATGACTTTATCAATAGGAAACAACTCTACCAAATGTTATACAGCTTCCGCATTCCTTCCAAATATATCCAATTTGGGCTACAATAGATTTAACCGACATATTTGATATAAATAAAGGACTAAAACAGGAGGACGGGCTGGTTCCAACATTGTTTAACAAACTCACTAATAAATAAATCCGTACAAATTGCAGCCTGTGCTGACGATATCCGTCATGTCTTCTAGGACAGGATAGATGACGCGGGATCGGTCTTGAAATAAATAAATAAAAGACGAAGATACTAACGCAAAGGAAATAAGAAGGAATGTAAACCACAACAGTCGAGGAGAATGTTGAAGAAGTGACATACGTACCTGGGAGTCAAACTCAATACAGAACGATCGGAGGAATCCAAAATACAAAATGGATTGAAAAAAAATACTGAAAATAATTTTTGGTACAATAAAGGAGAATGGGATATAAAGAGCTACAACGTATAATTTGACCATCTGTTCAAGGAATCTCAGAATTCGTCAGGTTGCAAAGACTCCAATGGAATGGAACCCAACCCATGTGAGGAGATTAAGCTCGAGGGACGGGCCATGCACAGTCATGTAACCACGATGACGCGAGAAATGGTTGGGTGTAACAAAATGGAAATAAATATTGAAAACTCATTTTCAAATCGCCTCATCTCATATTTGCGCGTCGCAACTTTTTTTGTTGAATAAAATATATTTCAAGAACAAATACAGATAAAGGTATTATTGAATGATTAATTAAACTGTTTGACCATAAAGATTTATTTCTAACTAATAAGAAAATAATTATAAAATACTTGAAATATTATACAAAATACTAAAATCTCAATACAAGCCAAAAACATTTATCTTTTAAGCAGGTTATTATGTTTCCATCATTTTACGTTATTTCAGAAATGGTTAGTAATTCACTGTTTTGGAGAGAATTCTAAAAGTTTATTTACCAGTTGGGTGCATAATTTAATTCTAAATTACTTTCATATAAAAAAATGTTATATCGTTTAAGTTCCTCTAAAAAAAAAAAAAAAAAAAAAATTGATGGAGTTAAAAAAGATTGATATTACGCAATTTTTGTAAAGTTACGATTGGTAATGAAAACTTATCATTGTGTCAATTCAATTTTTTAGAAAATTTACTTCCAAAAATAGCTAACATTTCACGCTTATACTTACAATTAGTATATGTTTGATTTCTACAGGTGTTCCGGTGACTCGGGGCATAAAATTAACCTCATATACTAGAGCAAAAATGATGACGATTCGTGAAAAAAAATTATTATAAAAGTCTTCAAATGGCTAAGATATGGGTCATCAAAGTTCAGAAATTTTAACACATTTTTCTAAATATTTTCAATACCATTTATGGTAGAGCGTTGAAATTTGGTACAGGGTAAACAAATATCAAGCAAAATCATTGAACCAATTTTGACTTTGATCGGGCGGCGGCAACCATGCTATACAGGCTGTCCCTAAAATTTGTTTGCTCAGAACTTTTTTGTTCGCTCGTAACCCTACATTTATTTTTGTACTTTTTAATAGAAAATTTATTTTAGAAACTATTATCACTCTTTGAAAATTTTTATAACATTTACCGTTTTCGAGTTATACGCGAAAATGTTAAGCTTTGATTTCAATCGTAACAAACAAAAAAAGGAAACATATTCCGCAAGATCTGAGTTGGCGATGACAATTCAAAAACGAACTGACTTAATAACCATTATTTGCATACATTTCTAAGTGCAGACTTAGTTAAATTCAGTGTTAATTTATTTTAGTTGAATAAAGGAATGTAATTTCCAAAACAATAAATTTAATTTTCACGGTTACATCAAACAAGAAAATAACAAAAATTCTAACAAAAATATTAACAAGAACAATAAAATTATAAACAAATAGTAATAAATAAAAAAGAACAAAAAGATACTAAAGCAGATGTTCAAAAACACTCCCGCCGGCATCAATGCACGCCTGATATCGCCGTCTTAAATTAAAGCGCACTCTGCGGAGAACATCGATCTCAGTTCGAAGTTGATCAAATGAAACAACAATTCGCAACCTCAGTTGATCAACTCATTTTCGATCAACTGATTTAAACGCAGTAAATTAGCAATTTAACGCGTCCCCATAAATAAAAATCTACAGGTGTAAGATCCGGCGATCGGGGGGCCAACTTATCGGTGCACCTACTCCTAGTCCAATCCACCGTCCCTAAAAACGTTCCCTCAGAAATTCTTGGACAGCTTGTGTGCTATGCGCAGGAGCACCATTATGCATATACCACATTGCTTGCCTTGTGTTTAAAGGACCGTCATCTAAAAAATCATCTAATTCCTCTAAATGTCGCCTGTATGTATGTCCATCCTTGCCAGCCTTGATGGCAAGAAAACGGGTCCAATAATTACATCGCCCACAATGCCAGCCCAAACGTTAAGAGAAAATCTCCATTGTGATTTCCAAGTTTTCTTAAATCTTGGATTTTCGTCCGCCCAACTATGTAGATTTCTTAAATTGAAGATTCTATCTTTAGAAAAAGTAGATTTATCTGTAAAAAGCACTTTTTCTTAAAACTGATCATCAATTTGGATTTTGTGCTGCATTATTTGGCAATATTGCAGTCGCAGTGGGTAATCAGCCAGTCGAACTTCCTGAACTTCGTAACAATGAAATGGATAAAGCTGTTGCTCGTGAAGAACACTCCAGATAGTTGTTTTTGAAATTAAAAAGTGCCTCGCCATATCCAAAGTACTAGCTGTAGTATTTTCTTCTACGTAGTCTAGAATATCTCCTTCTAGTTCGGGTGTTCGGACTGATCTTACGTTACTGTTGTTAGTAAATTTCGGCTTAAACGTCCCATTCTCCCTTAAACGGGTTTCAATTCTTAAAAATGTTTTTCGATTGAGCGCTCTGCAATTCGGAAATTTCTCCCAATAACGCTTAGCGGCTGCTACGGCGTTTCCATGACATTCCCCTAATATCAAAATCATTTCAGTTTGTTCACTAAATGTGTAACTCTCCATTTTGAACACTTAAAATTAATAAAAACTTAACTAACAAAAAACTATCATTTGTGTTTAAACGACATAAGCAAGTTGACAGCTCAATTTGTTTTTTTAATTGCCATGGCCAACCTTGACTTTTTCGAAGATTTTTATTTTTTAGTGTTACCATTGAAATCGAAGCTTAATATTTTCGGGTATAACTCGAAAACGGTCAATGTTATCAAAATTTTCAAAGAGTGATAAAAGTCTCTAAAATAAAATTTCTATTAAAAAGTACAAAAATAAATGTAGGGTTACGAGCGAACAAAAAAGTTTTGAGCAAACAAATTTTAGGGACAGCCTGTATAGCATGGTTGCCGCCGCCTGATCAAAATTGGTTCAATGATTTTGCTTGATATTTGTTTACCCTGTACCAAATTTCAACGCTCTACCATAAATGGTATTGAAAATATTTAGAAAAATGTGTTAAAACTTCTGAACTTTGATGGCCCATATCTTGACCATTTGAAGACTTTTATAGTAATTTTTTTTCACGAATTGTCATCATTTCTGCTCTAGTATATGAGGTTAATTTTATGCCCCGAGTCACCGGAACACCCTGTATAAATAAAGTAATCTGTCTGTAATTCACAAATGTACCTTAGTAACTCACTTAGTATCCCTCATAGCTTTTGCCTTTTTAACAAGTTGTTTAAAAATGTTAATACAGTTTTCTTAATATTTGAAAATCTTTCGCCCAGTAAGTACGTCCATTGTTCCACCAAACTTTTAAACCTGGCTGTTTCACGTCCAACCCAAAAACTTTTCCTATTTTCCATTGGCCCTCATGGAAAATTTTGCCGATGTAAACTTTGACTCCCCGATTATAATAATATGCTCCACCGCCGATAACACAGTTTTGCAAAAATGTTGGCTTCAATTGTTCTACGTTTACGTACATCCATTCAAAAGCCGTAGGTTCTGTCGTACATAATATCTAAAAATAGTGATGAACAAATAAAATAAATTGTCTATGCAAATATCAACGAATTAATAACTTTAATATTATCTTTGAATGTAATTTTTCCATGTGCTGATTCTGAAATAACTATTTTCGATTCGGGATATAAAGTTCCGGGAACCACTCCTAATTCTTCTCTAACATAGTATACGACTTGAGCAATGTAGTTTCCGTGATATGTAGGAAATGCGTCCGAAGGGATTGATCCATTGTAATCTCTCCAATATACATCAGCATCTGAAAGTTAAAATACGCGTTAAAATAATATGAATTATAAATCAAAGCCGTTTGGCTTACCACAAAAGATGCAGTTTTTTTGCCCACAAAAAAATACGAAAATAAATAAGCAACTTGTCGTTGATCGTAACATTACTCAATTATTTACAAGAAATGTAAAAAAAATATTAATTTTTACAGTCTTTATAGATTCGTTTCTTTCAATTAATGTGTATTTAGAGCTGGTGTTGACCTAAAAAAAAAATTTGAACTAGACATTAATTATTGAATGAATAGATTAAAAAGTTAACAGCTTTTACAAACAACGATAAAAATACTACCTTAATTAATGGCGATCGATCGATGTTATGGACGAGATTGGCTGTAATAACACAGATACAATTTATAATTTGAAGAATTTTTCAAGTAAACAATTTGATGCAATGTATACTAGTGCATGTACTAGTACGATGAATGTTGAATAAAAGTTCTCATCATCAGATAACGAATGAAATGCTCTTATCTGTTTTATTTATGAAATTTTAAACAGTTGTATTAACTCATAACGGTAAGTATTTTTCGACTTTTGGGTTTTATAGCAAGTTTTCTGTCTAGTCTGATATTGAGTTATAAGAAACAAAGTAAAGTGTGTATGTTATCTTTAACATTCCTAAAATAACAAGCTGGGCTGCCTCTTAACCACATAACTAACAAGCAAAAGGCAAAAATTGAAAGATAAAATAATGCAAATACACTTGAAAAAGATTATAGATAAAGATAATTCTGTTACTGGGTATTTTACCACTTATACTTTTTATTCTTCTGGAAAGTTTCAGTTTAGAATAGTGTGACATGAGCTTATGATTTGCGAAAAATTTTTGTGTTGAACTGACAAACATTTCGTAATTGTTTTCTTATTAACATTGTTATTTGCTTTTCTACAAATTAGGTAAAATTTCGTTCATGCAAAAACGGCAAACAAATCTTTATAATAAGAAAGTTTTTTTTATAACTTTATCTTTATACGGCATTTCGCTATAACGGCCCTCTTCTATTAAGGCACGTTTTCGATTTACGGCCTAAAATGTTTCGCTATAACTACAAAAAAAAACATTTTTTCGATTAGTATAATTGATTCCTTATACGGCTTTTCACTATGCGGCCAAGTTTCGTGGAACGTATCTAGGCCGTAAAGCAAGGTATGGGTGTATTAAATTAAAAAACTATCTTTATTTTAAAATAAGTTCAATATTAAGCCTCACCAGATTAAGTGAAAAAATCATATACACCAGCAGTGTTGTTAAATACCCGGGTATTTATTTTCAAGGGTAAATTTCCTAGATATATACCCAGGGGTATTTAGAGGTATTCATAAAATTTAATTTAAATTGAGTTGAGGGCAGTTTTGCAAGAACTTCAAGAATGCAGAGTCGATTATCGATATACCATACTTATTTATAACATCTACAATAATGCTACAATTATGGTAAAATTGCATGAAAGTACTGAAGAGAGTAGAAGTAGTAAAGTGAGTAAAACAAGGCGATACATTATTGAACCAAAATTGTTCATCACAGTCCTCAGAGTGCATTTAAACAACTGGATTGGACCCAAAAAGGTATAAACATTGATTGCAAATGCTTAAGTAATTTGCGCTACGCGGACGATATAGTTCTTATATCGGATAGCCTTGGAGAGATTAAACTAATGCTGAACGACTTAAAGGAGGTGTGTGCAAGAGTCGGGCTAAATATCAACGAGGAGAAATCAAAATTTGTGATAAATCGCGTTCCCAGATCTAGCATCAACATTGGGGATAATGAGATTGAGAGGGTTGACAGTGTACCTATGTATATCTTGGCTTGAGGTTCGTGTATCGAGAGATAATCAAACAAGCGAACTAAACAGAAGTATTACACTCGTATGGGCAGCCTACGGGAAACTTAGAGACATCTTCAAGTGAAAAGGCCAAGAAAGGCTTTCAATCAATGCGTGTTTTCGGTTATGACATAAGGCTCCGAAACTTTAACATTAACAGTAGCCACTGCCAGGAGGGTCCAAGTAACGCAAAGATAGATTGAGAGATCGATCCTGGGTCGTACTCTGAGGGACTACATACGAAATGAAGACCTCTGAAGAAGAACTGGCGTAACTGATGTGGTCAACATTGTGGCAAAGCTTAAGTGGAACTGGGCGGATCATGTCGCGAGAATGAAGAATGAGCAGTGGACAAAACGGTTGCTTGAGTGGAGACCGTGAGCGAACAGACGAAGTAGACGTTAAAAGAATGACCAAGAATTGGATTCAGACAGCACAGTATAGAATCGAATGGAACAGAATAAGGGAGGTTTATGTAACAATGGACGCAGAGGGCTGCTTCATGATAATAATCATAATAACTTGATCTAATCTAAATTACGACAGATTCGTCTAATGATAATGCGTCTTTGATTGTTGACAATTCCTCGTCTTCAAGGTCCTCATCATTTTCCTCTTAATTTTTTTGAAATCTGATGTATTTTTACTGGTATCACAGTGGGTATAAAAATACTCACTGTTTGGGTATTTACCCTGGGCTGGGGTAAATACGCGGATAAATACCCATTTTAGAAATACCTACCCACCGGGTATTTATCCAGCGCCTATCACTGCACACCAGTGAGCTGGTCGGTTATTTATTACCCAACCCGCAATAAACCTAGTAAAGGTAGTAGTCTCGGTCCACGGTACCATAAATTTAACTGTCACTTCAGTTTTCTTAATTTTTTTCTTAAATAATGAGTAAATCGCAAATTTTTTGGTGTGAATTTACTTTACTATGACTCCCACGTCATATGGTATAAGAATCGTTAAAACATAAAATCATAAATTTCGTCATTTCTAACATTTTTGCAAATCGTGCAATACAAAATTTATTTGACATGATCACCACCTGGCCAAGTAGGGTGGCTTAATACATATCGCATTTGGAGTTTCTATCTTGAAATTTAGACATCGAAAAATCATAGACCATAAGCGATGGTACACCCTGTAAACCGTCTCTTGTTGTAAATACTCTTGAAGATTAAATTTTCTAGACTGTGGTTTAAATGGATGTAAATCTCCAAAGTTGAATCGGTTTCCACTTCAAACTGATAACAATATTTCTTCTATTAAGTATACAGGAGATATTGTTGATAGATGGTGTTTTTAACTTCTTATAGTTGCAAAATCGCCAATTAAAAAATCTAGGGCTGTGTCGTTTTCATAAACTTATTAAAACCCATAGTGATTGTTAACACAGTTAACAACACGTACTCTATCTTTCTAACTTTTTACTATAATTTCTTTGTATTATACTGTGTCACTGTACATCTACATGAAGAATGTGTGCATTAAACGAGTAATAACGTTCACTTCATTCAATTTTTGTATTAATATTCTCGTCCGCTTATTTTAATTTATTAATTTCTTACTTTCGTTTGTTAATAAAATCCATATCCCTTTTCAATTTGTAGCTTATAAATAAGAAGATTATGAAATATAGTTACTTTTGCATTATGTGATAAACTCTTGAGAAAAAAAATGTTTATGCCAAAGATGAAATTAGTTTCCTGTATTAAAATGGTGTTTTCTAATTACTATATGTATTGGTAGATCTATAGGAACAAGAATCAAAGAACACCAACACAAGCATAACTCCAATTTTGGTAGATATATCATAACAGAATTATTTTGAACCAAGCCCCTTATGTCTACAATGCAGTAATTTGGATTTAAAAGTTAGTAAATCGTTTTTCTTTCGCGGTTGTAACTAGAGGCTATAATAATAATAACGGCTTTATTGCCTCACAAAAATAAATAAACCTATGTTTAATTCATGGTAAAATATTATTAAAGGTAAAAATTAACGGTATTAAAAGTTTGTTAGAAATAAACGGCACTTTGATGTTTATATGTAGAACGGACATGGTTCAATGTCCGTTATCAAAAGTTTTCAAAATACATTAACCACAAAAATTTGTTCCATGTTTAAGCCATGTTCATGTGAAAAAAAACGCGAGTTTTTTTTCGGAGGATTTCCGGAGGAATCGGACAATTTGACCCAAGTGTTTTCAAATAAAACAGATTAGGTTTATTTTTATAGTAGCCTTTTTATTTAAAAAAACTTCCCTTTTTTTTTGTTGTATAAAATTAAATTTACGTGACAACGGTTCGGTAACAACTGTGCTTAAAAACTACGACCAATTGCATAATAGTTTTTAAAGTTATAAGGACACTATAACGTTCGAGGAAGAATTGTATGGGTCTCGTGATTCTTCCGAGGAATGCTATTTCTTTCGTTCCGCATGGCTTATTACGTTTTTCCAACTAGCAGAAGTCAATATCCTGCAAATATCCAAAGTTTCCTTGACAGATACTAGTTCGTAAACTCAGAAAATTGAGAAATCGTAAGTCACATTTTGTTTTCATAAACAAATAAAAGTTGTAAAAGTTGTTACGTGTTACGGTAAAAAGAAGATGAATATGGAAGAAATTGCGAACGTTGCTTGTGAGAATTTATTGGATGCTAAGAAAAAACGCAACAAAGGTGACGGAAACTGTACTGTTGGCGTACATGGTTGAACGCTCCGGAAAACTGCAATCACCTGCTAGTCTACGGTGTAAACATTCAATGTTGACGACCTGTTTCTGATACGAAGAAAATACGGATAACAAAATTCCACAAATTAATAGGGTATTTAAAGAAGAAAAATCATGGATATACTTCGAAAAAGTCGAGAGTTCTTAACCTATTATTTTCCTAGGAATATAATGAATTAAGTTCTGCAACCTTACGATACTTGTAACCATGAATGCAATTTCATCATACGAGATTGCTAGTGGGAAAAGTACACGTAATACGTTTCATGATAATAAATTTAATGCACATCCACGGGAACGCACTTGATGCATTCAACTGTCGGTGTTAATACCAACAAATAATTGTGTAAATCGTTAATAAAATAAAACATTATTTAATGTATTGTGGACAAGATATCACACAGTGTTTCTTTGTTATCACACCTACATATTAGATAGTCAATTAACAATAAGAGGTATTATTACATGTATATTTGATGAAATATTTAGTCAATTTGTGGCATGTATTTAAGCATTGATTTAATATCTCCCTATAGTCTCCCTTTTTCTTTACATCCAACGATGGCTTTTCTACATTATTATTAAGGTAGTCTATATTAACATAAACAAAAATTTGGTAAAACTAATGAAGAATCAAGTTCAAGCTGTAGTGATGGAAACATCCAACCAATGAATGAATCAAAACGTACAAAAAAATCGACGACACGACACGACAATATTTGGATAAATATTTAAATTTTGGATTTACCTGGTCTGGAAGTAACGACTCCCAGATTCCAAAATGTATTGTATGTGGAGAACAACTTGCAAATAGTGCAATGGTTCCTGCGAAATTCGTCATTTTTTTTCAAAACATAATAATTTATCATCTAAAAATAAGGAGTATTTTAAAGGATTATAAGAAGCAAATAAAGATCAAACAAAACATTTTCAGAAGTCAGTTGCCGTTTCCGATAAGGCCCAAATAGCGTCGTATAAAGTAGTGGAACTAATCAGGCTCAAGCAGAAACCGCATAATTCAGCAGAAACTTTTATTTTACCTGCCTCTTTGGAAATTGTAAAGATTATGTTTGGCCCTGAGGCACAGAAAGAAATTGCAAAAATTTCTCTATCTCACAAGATATCGCAAACAAGTTTCTACTAAATTAGCATCCGGAAGAAGTTTTGGGTTGTAGATTTACAAATTTAGTTATACAAGTGGCAAAGATCAGTTAATAGGATTTGTTCGTTTCATTGATGAATATGTAATAATAAATCAGTTTTTATGCTACAGAGAACTAACTGCACGCATACAGGCTAAGATATAACTTGTCGTAGAACTTATCGCCTCGTTAAGAATAGAAATGCTAACATTGTATACATGCATTGTTTCTTACGTAGAGAAACAATCAAACAAATCTAAAGTTAGTGTAAGAGCAAGTGGTATCTGTAGTTATTTACATTAAATCGAGACCATTGAAGCCCGTCTATTTAAACACCTTTGCAATTCCATGGAATCGAAATATGAATGCTTACTTTTACACACCGAAGTAAGATGGTTATCAAGAGGTAAAGTGCTGACTCGGGTTTACGAACTCAGAAATGAGCTCTTGACTTTTTTTCAAAAGGAATGTAAGAATGTGCTAGACTTGCGTATGTATGCAAGGAAGAAACGAAGACATTTTAACTTGCACTGATAAATTGTTAACATTCCAGAACAAAATTTAATTTCGGAATAATCGAATATTAGAAAAAGGACAGTTGATATGTTTCCATTAATTTCAAGTGAAGATGCAACCGAAATTATTTCTATAATAACAGAACATTTATCTCTATCTATTTGTGGATGATTTTTGATGAAATACTACAGTCCAAGAGACATAATGCTATTCCTATTCTGGGGAATACAGCAATTATAATAAATGAACACTTTTTTTTAATTCCGGAAAATCTGTAACAATTTAGTCCACAATTTTTAGTAGACTGCTATAAATGTGATTTCCGGATATCATTTCATGCCAAACAGCGCAATACGTTTTCTTATTTTAAGGGTGCTATTTTAAGGTCCAGTATTGGTTGTTTAATTACACTTTTTCCACTAAATACCACTAAAACACAATCATTAAGTCGTGCTAACAAGAGAGATTTTAACTTTAACTGATTGAAACTATTATTTTGAACCAATTCCTATGTCACGTGGTTGCGTACTCGGTTATCATTGGGAGGGGACTTGCTACAATATGATTGTATACACATAGTTAGGGTTTGTTGGAATGGTAGAAGGTAATTCCTATAATTCTGGCTCTATTAGCTTACGTTCCCTATTAGCTAGATATGGCACAATATAATACAATAAAAACGGTGGTGGGTGTAACTGCGTACAATACAAAAGTGGACATGGTTCAAAATAATTCTTAGGTGACGATATGTTGATTTATAATCATGACTAAGGATAATTCATTTCTATGATATGCACTTTATAGTGGAGCATTTCTATGATACTAGCGACGATCTCTGCTTTGTATGTGATGTTTCATTTATTATATTACATCAAAGCAATTAATCAAAAATGTATTTTTTTAAATGAGTGATTCTGAAGAAATATTTCAAATGCTGTAAAGTATTATATTGTTAACATTGCAAATAAAAAGCTCACATTCAAAACACACCCTATAAATACCAAAAAGTATACACAGGTGTACGTTTGGAGAGTTTCATCACCTTTATAAACACATTAAGGCAACATTCTGCAACATTTATGGAATACACATCACTGTACCCCATGTTTTCATAGATGATGAAGCCTATCCACTTCTCCTTCATCTATTGAAACCTTAGAAGACAATAAATTGAAGCAGATAAAGAATATTTTAATGCTGGATTATCAAGAGCACGAAGAACTGTTGAATGTGCTTTTGGAATACTGTATACTAAGTTGAGAATTTTAGGAATAGTGATACAAACATCTACAGATGTAGCTGATGATATTGTTAAGTGTATCCATTTGCTGCATCACGTTCAAGAAACAAGCACAACCAAACCTAGAAATATCACACCAAGTAATACTGGGGGGATCCAACAAAAACTTCATTAATTAAACAGTAGATATCCATGACGACCACACCTGATAATAGCAAAGAAAATAGGGAATACAATTAGCGTCGCTCTTAAGCGGCCCTAACACGATCAATAATATTGACAATAATATTGACAGTGTAAGGTGAAAAATTTTATTGACGGTAAATATTGGTGGAGTATTGATAAAAACCCGAATATTGGGGTTTTCACTGTAATAAACTCAACATTCAAAATTAAATACCTACTTTTATTTAATTGTAACAATAACAAAACATGTCTATCAACACACTTATTTTAACCCTTTAACAGGCAAATTATTTTTTCGTTTTTAGAAACGATTTAGTTGTGGTAACGCAGCTATTTGTCCTTATTGATAAGTGGTCTCTATAGAAGCCACTTGCCGTTAAAGTGTTAACCCAGATGATTTGAAAACAGGTTTAGTTCTTATTTTCTACATTACACTCAGTTCAGTTCAAGTCGCGCGCCTGTGAAGAAGTGGTGAAAATGACCGACCCATTAACTGACGTTGTTGGCGTTCAACACGGTGAAGATACTGTTGGTTCATGTCTTGTAGGACATTTATAAAGGTTTCACAGCTGATAGTTGCTGGGTACATTATAACAGAAAACTTCAAGTCTTCAAAATTTCTTTCTGTGGCCATGTACCTCAGGGTTAAGGCTAATCTTTCCCTTACACTTGTACTTTCTCTCATATTGCTATACTGTCCTTTCAAAAATGGTTCAACCATCTGTAACAGTTTGTTAAAGGAACTTTCATCCATTCAAAAATCGTTCTTGAAATCATCAACATCGCAGAGGTTGATTTCTGTCAACAGTACTAGATAAGAATGTTCATCTCTCTTCTCCAACCATTCTTTCATCCAGTGTTTGCGTTTCACTCGAAGAGTGGTTCCAAGCGCCAAAATAATAGCAACGCAAGCTTTTGTACGATTTACCTTATTTGGAAAGGAAAAACCGGCAAATAACCGAGTAAAAAAACTACGTAGATTATTTCTGTTCGTATTATAAAAAGTATTGACAATAATATTGATCGTGTACGGTAGTGAAGTATTGAGACTGGTTACCACAAGGATTGATGGTTGTATTGTCAATACTATTGATCGTGTGAGGGCCGCTATCGTTACTCGGCTGTCAATCGTGTGACATCGCGTTGCACCAATATAAACACCTGCATATAAAATAATGACAACATTTTCTTTGCTTTGCTAGTATCGTCGCTATTATAGCTTATCGCAACTCCAACGTAAACGTACCCTAATACTCAGAATAACGTTACTCTTCTACATAAACCGAGTAAAGGCATCTACTTAATTTATTGTTCTTATTCTTATTGTGTATGGAACGCTACATTGATCTCCAATATTCCAGTTTCTTACTCTGTCTATTCTTGTTTTCTCATTATTAGGTTTTGTTTGCTTCTACTCTCATTTCTATTCCGTATATTATTATCGGTCTTATACACGTCGTATATATATATATATATAATGACTGCAACAAACTTCAAGGGGTGATTCTTTAGTGAATTTTAAGGGTACTTTAATATATGAACCATGGGTCACTTCGGATCCCCTAAGGAGCTACACCCAAAATTCCAAAATTCAATCTCTTAGGGGTTTTGTATTGAGTCGTTAAATGCTTCGTATATGTGAGGAATCTATAATAACATTGATTACTGAAATGAATGTAATAGTAGGTTCTATTGAAAAGCAAACAAGTTTATATAAAATTAATTTAATTATTGTAATGTATTTTTGTTAAGGGTATGATGATAGATCGTACGTGGATATTCCCCAAAGTGGTTACGACGATCGAAGGATGGGAATGGCACCTTTAGCACCTACTGGCGATTACGACGATATGAGTCAAAGATATGGATCCATGGGAACAATGGATAACAGACGGGGCATAATGGATCAACCAGGTGCCCAACCTAAACCGATGGCGAGTGGTTATGATCACAGTCAGCCTGATAGTTATGGCCGACGTGATGCTATGAATAAATTAATGTGAGTTTTTTATATCAAATTTTATAGTCAATAACAAATGTGATGGGTATTCAATCTTGACCTAAATTATGTTAATAGGGACGTTATCCAGTTATCGCATTTATAGTTTGGCCACGCGTTTGAGTTGGTTACAAACATCGCAAATTAGACCAACAAGTGCGACGAAGGAGTTTGTTCTTGTTCAGAGACCATAGCAATGGTCATAAGTCGAGTATACGAATACTAACGGAATATGGTTAAAAGTGAATTTTTTTGTTTAAAGTAATTTTACCGATGTTAGTCGGAAAAAAATTCGGTCTGTTCTCTCTGTTTGGATGCGTATTTGCTGAATATGGAACTCGCGTGTTGTTGATCTTATCGTAGCAGCTTCTCTGATGAAGCATTAACAGAACGTGCAGCTAGACCATCTAGACATAAATAATTATTGTTCATAAAAGTACATATTTTGAAATAATCGTCCTTTTCATAATTTAATTTTTTGTCATTGGATAGTGGACGTTTTGCAAATTTGTCAAGTTTTTTTTTTAAATTTCGTAGATTTTTGACTTACATTAAGTCACGAGTACATAAATAAGTTACGAATAATACAATCTAATTTGTATTTATACATATATGTACAACTCTAAACATATAGTTCAGCTTTATGAATTCTATTGTTTTTTCTAATTAATTATTGTCCACTTTTCTTAGCGATCGTCAATCAATGGGGTACTCGACCAATCCTAACGTCAATTACGGTGGCGTTGCAGCAACATCCGTTTATGGCCAAACCTCATCTAATTGGAGTGGTGGCGGCGTATCTTCCATGGATTACAGCGATGGTCGTGGATCCACGTCTACCATGGGCGTTGCTAATACTAGTTATGTTGATTCAAGGAACGCACCTGTTGACCCGGGAGTCTACGGCGATAATAATTCTCTGTACGCGGATGGGAGATCGATTGGTAATCATCCAGTGACTCCATTGATAAACTCTTACAATACTGCGTCTCCAATTACTTATGGAACGCCAGCAAATTACGTCAACGTTACGGGTTCTGGTTACGAAAGTGGGTATGGTATGCCAAGGAATGGAGGTGGTGGTGGAGGAATGGGAGGAGGAGGAGGAAGTTATGAAGCTTCTTATCCGCCATTACCGCCGCAAAGAGGGTAAGTTAGAAATTCTATTGAGCTATGAAGAAATAATTCTTTACGAACGTAACAAATTTGAAACGGTTTTGGATCGTTTATGAATGTAAAGATGTTTGCGGTGTTTTATTGTAATGAGTTACTAATGATTGGATTAGTAGCGCTATTTCCTTTCTATTTTCTTGTTGACATGTATTAGTTATAAGTGCACACAAAATCGTCGAACATAAACTATTCGAAAAACTTAACGATAAAAAAAATTAATGAAAATTGATATTAAATTATTCCGTATAAAAGAAATATCTGAAAAAACATCTTGCTCATTAAATTCGATGAACACGTGTAGATCGTACGAAATTTTTTGATATAAAATATGTTGTAAGCGATGCAACAGACTAAATGTAACGACGACAACAATGCGTTTCAGTTGTTTTATAAAGGGCGCAGATCGCCAAACTACTACGAAAAGGAATCCTGCATCTAGTCTGGAACGCACATCTACCCACCGCGAGGAAGAACAAGTTTTCAACGCGAACACATTGCAAAAACGTAAATCGGCAGATCCGTTCTATCCTTTACAATTGGATTTCGTGGCACGTCAATCAACGATTTATTTAATTAATAATGCGACTCGAATACTCGTTTATCTTTATATATAACGATAAGACGCTTTGTTAAAAATGTTAGTTACAAACATACAAATTTTATAAAAATAAACTTTCGTCGTCGCCGCTAAGAGAAAAATTAATTAATGCTAGCAATTGCTATCAATCGGAAATTGCATTTATCAACGTATCATACAAGCGTAAGTTCTCATCGTCTTTAAATAGTATAGTCAAGTCTGAAATTAATGCTTTGAGGATTATAAATGGCTTAACTTATAAATGAGTTGACTGTACTTTAACGTAATTTGATTTTTTTTATTAATGTTCACAATCAATTTTAATGTTTATTTTATTTTGGCTATAAGTATTAAATTGTGGGTGTCATCATGGGACTCAAGCGACCATTATCAGCTGTTTCAATACTTATTTAAAATTTTGAAACTTGATTGCTTAATTATTTTGGTGAAATTACCGCACTGATTTATTTTCCTGGCGGATCAGGTGTGGCGAAATATGTTAAAGGTAAGAGATAAATATGTTAAAGGCACAATTGTTCTATGTGTTGATTGAGATGGATTCCTAACATAATAAGGTGCCAGTTTTTGTGGTCAGTTTTTACGACTCCTATACTATAATTTTCAAAGTGAACACGTACATTTTTGGACTGTATACAGGTGTGCCGAAACTGAACAACAAGCGGGCACCGGATGAGAGGCCAACCAATACATGTTCTGGAAAAAACATGAAAAAAATTCCATGTTTCTTAGTTAAGTGGTAATAGACATATTTTTGAAAATGTTAAAAATCGTCGCGTACATCATATCTTTAGGTACTACAGTTAGAAATGTTCGCAATTTAATGGTGTTTTTTTAAATAATGTATTCCTTATGAGCCATACTGCTATAGAAGTCACAAATCAAATAACAAAAGTCGTTAGTTTTGCAAAACAAAATATTAGTTTGATTGAGTTACAGTTGAAAGAATTTATGTCTATTAAGGGGGTATGCCACCTTGAAGACCCGAAAATAATAGGTATTTTTAAACTTTTTTTTGCAATCAGACGAAAGAAGTTTTCTAAAAACGGGTTGCAGGGTGTGAATAAGCCACTTTTCTAGTTTTAAATACATATTTTATTTATTAACAGTTATTAAAATTGCACCCGCTAGATGTCGGTAATGTTAGGCTTGCAAATCGTGCAGGGTCAAACTGTGCGCAGGATTTCTCCTAACGCGTAAGTCGAATAATTAAAACTTGAATACGATTACTTTAGTAAACTCAAAAACTAGGGAACTACGTAGGATTTTTAAAAAATATTCATTTTTGACGAAATGGTGACGATTTTACAAGAAATGTCGTATTTATCGATACAAACGTACATAAAAATGGTTGTAAAACAGAGAATCTGAGACATATCGAAAAACGGCTACGTACTTACCTAGAATAAGATAATACAAACTTTTGAAAAAAAAATCTTGAAAATCCGTTGAAAGATGTAACTTCCACATCGTGTGCACAGATTTGAAAAATTGAGTTTCCAGAAAAACGCGTTTAAAGTTTTCGAATGTAAAAAAATTGTATATTTTTTCTAGATACATCTAATCAGCGATTCCTGCACCATAAAGCTGTCCTTCCTGCAGCTTATTTTCATTTTCTGCAGCTTTTCTGTCTGACAGTAGCACGATCTTCCAATTGTTAATTTCAGTGCTTGCATTATTTCCATAATGCTTGTAAGACCGTCATTAAAATTGCAAGCAGCTATGTCAGACGCAATGTCAACCACTTTCTTGCCACTATCAATAGTTTTTGGTGCGATAGACCATAACGCGGCATTGTAACTTTCATTGCTGTTTTGCGTATATCCCCCTAAACATCTTGTCAAAAGATCTTGACAGTTCTTCGTACACAGGTTTCTCTGCGTTGAAAACATCACTGCTGATTGCTGGCTTGTGAGTGTACTCATCGATTTTTGACAAAGCGTACGCTTTTTGCCAGGAACACCACGAGTCAGCACCAAATGGACAATTGTCATGCTGGTGCGGGTATTTGTTTTTAGATTTCGTAACCGTCTGCCCATTCGTTTCTGAACGTGATCGACGCATTCTTTTTTGGTTACTATTATACTGTCATAGGGCTGAGCGTCCATAATACCTTTGAAGGTTTTGCTGTCTCCGTCTCCTACATAAAAACAGTACTTCAAATTATGTTTTTCTTCGGATCGTTGAAACATCTCTATGACGGAGTCCACTTCCATTTTTCTTGAAGATCCGACATGGTTTATATCACATATTTCTTTATGATCTTTGACCCAATCTTGAAATTCCACAGTATCTTCTTTACCTTTCCAGTAACTACACTTTTTACAAATTTTTGACTTTATATTTGGAATTACCCCTTTGTTCGATAGAAGTCGGGTAAAGTTTTCTACGAAAATGAGTTTTTGTGGTGCTATTGTTTATTCAGGTACCCAAAAGCCTATTTCAATAGCGTTTTTGAAAAATGATATTTCATGTTTTTTTAAACTTTTTTGTACAACAAGGTCAAAATACCTGCACTACAATGGATAAAAAATGAAACAAAAAGTGGTTACAGAAATCTTAGAATTTACGGTGAGGTGTATTACAAAAATCAATTTTAGGCAGAAAAACATTCCGCAAATGTTTTCTGTCAATGGATTCTCATTCTAGACAGTATAAAGAACACTTTTAAGCAAAAAAAACCGATTTTTTTGTGTGTAAGTTTGACACACGATTCTAAAAAATCACTATCTAAAAAAAGGGGTAGTACAACACCCTTGGCGAGTTATTTTAAAAGATGGCCTATTTAGTCAAGATTCCAAAATGGTACAACACTTGCCATTAAATATTATTGCCTGTTTTTCTGCAAAAAAACGCAAAAAAATATAGAAATTGTTTGAATAATTTGCCCCCAAAGATAACTTACGTCAGTAATTAGATAAATTCGTAAATTTTGTTTAGAATTTCGAGATGAACTGAAATATGCAATAATATACAGAATGTTCCATTAAAGAAGACGTAACTTTGTTTCTTCATAACTTTTTGACTGACCCTGTATACTTAATTTGTCTTTATTCTAATAGATTTAAAAAAACACTAAAACTTTTGCGTCTTAACATTTTTCGCTAGCTATTTTACTTTAGGAGATAACTCACCATTTCCATATCAGCGACCTGTATAGTAATAGAAAATGACAAAGCAATTTTCTAGGAAGAAACATCTGCTAAAGATATCCAAAATAGGTCTCAATAAAGTCGAAAAACTGTTCGTATGTTAAACTCCTTAATTAACTCCTGATAATACTAATCAGTACTAAAGGAACAGACTAGAACTGTCGTTACTAATCATATTGATTGAGTGAGTATAAGTTGAATCTTTACATTGGCGATGGCCATCTCGAATGCTAGCATCATGCACATGCATCGACCTCACAGATGAACAGCAGTGTAATGAAGACGTTATTTAAAATGCTTAGTCATTTTTATGACTTGGCAGCCTGTTTATGAAAACTTAAAGAAGAGGCAATCAGTTTATAAAATGAAATATATGGATCTAACAACAAACAGCATAACAGACATAACGGCAGAGACACGGGGTCTTCTAAAAATGTTCGTGATCGGCACCCCGCAGATACATTATTTTAACTTGTGTAAATATGCATTGGGATTTATTGGGGCTGTGTTTATGAGTATGTGTTTACATATATGTAGGGTTCACGTTTTATTTAATTTATTTCTAAGGGTGTTATTATAAAACTTGCACTTTATAATAAAAGAATGTTTATTTAAATCGTTTCTAGGGGTACACTTTAACAATTTGTAATAAAAGAATATTAATACAATCGTTTTAAAAAACGGACTGTCGCTCTTCGGGACCTCAAGGCAACTGTGTTGGGTTCGATTATTTCATGTATTATCAAGTATCTTAAGGAACGATATATCGTTATCAAAAATCGCTTTATTTATGCTGTGGTAGTAAAAAATATTAGGTATGTTTGTCGCGCTCGTAGCCGATTCTTTATATATAGCAAAGGCGATTTAACATTGATTTCATCTATGAGAGCTAGAGCAGTTTGAAGATGGCCAATGAGCGAGCATTAAGTTTCAAAACAAAATTTCCCGTTTTTCTGGGTCCTTGCTGCACCACAATTTCGTATTTAGTGTATCAAAATAAAATAAACTATTGTTATCAAGTTAAATAATATGCATATGATAGCTTTAGAAAGGAAATGGCTGTTACTACAAGGTTATTAACTAATTGTATAGAAATCGTGTTGGTTCGGTTTATGTATGAAATTTAATGGGGAATAAGTAATTTGAATTGGTACTATCTACATATTGATAAAAATAGGAGAGAAAATGTTAATATGGCATAAAATGTTTTCTCGTGTAAACATTTTGAA